TAGGCATATTTAATCAAAGTGAAACAGGTTTAAAGACAAAAAGGCAGTGTATGAAACATCATGAATTTTCTGCTTTTAAGCTATTTTTTTTTTGAGTAGATTCCCAAAAAAGAAAGACGAAGGTGCTACAAGAAAAAAAAGATAATCTAACAGATAATACAAATCTTACAGATTCGACACATCTCATGTTGGACGTGAGCTTGTATAAAATGTGTGCTTGAGCAGAAGTGGGCTTCACATACCCAAAGAATAGAGAGGGCTTATATGCATTTTCTGTGTGTGACTGAGGCATCTTTTATTCATGGCAATGTGACTTGCAGGAGCCATCTTGAAATTACATTTTTAATGGCCATTGATCCACTGCACTCCTGGGAGCTTGATCATATAAATGTAGTCCCAACACAGACTTCTGAAGTAGCATTCAGGGCTGTCTAACGCGGCTGGAAATTTACTTTCTTGTAGCGAGAAAAACTTCTTGGAATTCCTGAAGTTAATTCTTATTTTACTTTCACAATGCCAGTCGCAGTCTCGACCATTTCAGCTATTCAAAATGAGCTCCAGGAGCTATTCACTATATTCACTTTACCTCAAAAGCACTTTCCAGAGAAAACCTCGGAATAATGACGGACGCCTTATTCTGTTCTCACTCACAGTCGTCAAGGACAATTACCCACAAATGAAGAAATAGGCGACACTATTTCGAAAGGTTGTTCAGTCACTCTTGGAACCGGCAGACTTGAGTGATAGCGCGCGGAAAAGTCAGCAGACAGCGACCTACCTAAAACAGTGGCAGGAAGATCTGCAGTAATAGTTCCTTGTCCTTGACTAACAAGTTTGACAACAGAATAGGGGCCTGCGACTGCCAGTGAATTTGAATCAAATCTCTGTGTTTTTCCCCCTTAAGCCCCCTTGGAATAGAGTTATCGCGTAACATGATGAAGCAATAACCTCCGCAGTTTAGGTCAGAGAGTGTGATAATACCAGCCCGATAGCGAACATCCCCACCCCTCATTCGAAATAAATATTCATTTCATCTCTGCCTTTGCTCGGTCCGCACACAGCTCCCCCTGGTTCAGTGGTGTGTAAACAAGTGCTACATGTGGTGATATTGGCAAAGGTCTCCCTGGGTTACGGTGTGTAACTGAGATAGAAATATATCATTACTGGGTGGGGACTGAGGGGATCTGAGGGACAAAGAGACTGAGAAATATGAATATTGGATTCCGCGTCACACACACACACATAAACACACACACACACACACACACACACACACAGACATAAAAGCGTATGTCCTTACATGCAGGCTGTCTGCTCCATCTGTCTGTTTTGCTCACACACAAATACGCACTCGCACACACTTAGCATAGGTTGTCCGTTAAATGCATGCGAACGGGTGATGGACTGCTCCAGTGGCTCTGCCGGTAATATAATCTTCTCTATTCCCCCAGATCCCAAACCAATATGTCACAATTGTCATTTATTCCCAGCATGGTCGCCCACAATCACATGGCTTTTTAAAAAAAATTTTTTTTACATTGAACACACCCTGATCCTGTCAGGATGATGAACACTTCAAGTGCACTCCTGCACAGCTACACTCACGTGAATACATTAGTATAAACATGTGTTGCCCTTTGCGTTCATGTTTATTTATTTTAGTTTGTTTTAAATATGGACATAAAATCAGACCTCCAGGGAGTTGTTTTTCCCACTTTCTTTTCTTTTCACAGTTCAATTACACACAAATAACCTCTCACATATGACAAGTCACACTGCCTGTGTCTAGTTTATATTGCCCACCTTTTTATTACTATGAGAAAGCCAAACAATTAGTGGCATAAAAACATCAGGAAGAAGAATAAATGTGCAAAAGTTTCATCATAATCTCAAGAATTTACTTTCTCTTTTTACTTAAACATTTTCCTGAATTAAATGAACTGCTAATTAAAAACAGACACCTACTTTTCAGGATATACAGGTGTTAAACAAGCAAGCAATGTTTGGAAACCCACATGAGTTTCAGCATGTATAAATGACAGAGAGAGAGCTAAAAAAGTTCTTAGATTTTGTTTGATTAGATGTAACCTTTTGTGGTGTTAAAGAAAAACCTGTCCCCACGTCTCTATCACATAAAGGGATGTTCTTCTAAAGGAAGTGTGAATAAACCTGACTGACATATAGATCCAATATCATCTCCACACTGCAGTTAATCAAATGCAAACGTCCTGTGATATCTGCTTAAAAACTGTGAGGGGAGGATACCAGCATCGATAGGGACTTATCTGACTTGCTTATCTGGACCCTGGGAAACCCTGATGCCAGATAGCAGTCTGAGCTGTCTGAGCTCGGGTAGAATTAGAGTGGCGCAGCAGACACAGAGGGTTTTTTCCTCTCGCTTGTTAATTTGTTCAGGGCCAAAACATCACCGTTGATCGAAATTATTGTGCAGTCCAAAAAGCAGATCTGACAAGAATCTTTTTAATCTGACATTTGTACAAAATCTCAAGGATCTGCTTTCTGTTCTGGGACAATGTGACCAGGCTTTATAAAAGAGACAGGAATGACCACACATGTTCTTCTCCTTTCTCTACGTCAATCATTCCTTTTAAAACGGCCCTCTTTGAGTTACAAGAGGAAGGGGAATTCATTTCTACGTGCAGAAGTGCAACCACTTTCCACAGTGAATAACATGCTGATATGAAATTACACAAGGCTCAAATTGTAGACAGTTGGTGCCATATTGAAGAGAGAATTATAGGCTCTGACCTGAGTGAGAAAGCATATTTTCCCCTGAGGTCTAGATTGCTCTACCTGTTAACTGTCTATGGTAAATTAAAAGAACATTTTGTCCTGGGAGAGCTTTCCTCTGTAGTGGGCCATGGGGAGAAGAAATAATCACCAGTACAGACACTTTAAGCCTGAAAGGAGGACAACAAAAAAAAACACCTCTCTGCGCTAATTAGTGAATATTCTCTTTCTATACGGTTCATGTTCCTCTGAAGAGCTTCAAGAGGAAGTGTAAAGAAAAGCGAAACAATAGTATCATGCACTGCAAAAGAACATGATGGTTAGCTAGATAAAAACAAAAACCCGTTAGCATTCATCTTGGGGATTGCTAAGTAAATTGAGCATGTAATACATGAGCAAATGCAAAGATTGTTGTTTGTGGTGAAAGTAATCAACCTTACCATTTTTGTAAGGTGTTTTTTTTCCCTCCTCCTCCTTTCTTCCTCTCCTACTACCGCGTAATGGTCATGTTGTTATATCATAGTTGTTACTGTTATAATTATCATAGTTGCTTATCTTTATTATTATTATTATCACTTTGGTATTTTTATTTCATTTGTTCTAGTTAATATTTTCTTTGCCCTTTTACTCTCATCGAAACTGAACTCGACAACTCAAGGACACGTATCACCCCTTCCGAAGAACACTTATTTAGTTAGCATTGTAATTACTTATTCCTCCCTCTAGTATTTTTCATTACCTTTCTTTTCTTTAATCTTCCCAAAATCTCTGCTCCTAGATCAAATCTCTGAGAGTCTCCACATCTAGATAAATCCTTTCGCATCTACTACTCATTGTATCATCGTGACCTTTGAGTCTTAGTGCATGTTGTTTCCTTGTAATGTCACTTTTTTCTCTTGTCATGTTGTATCATCAAAATTCCAATTAATTTAGAGTAATATTTTCCAATTAAAAGAGTGAGATTGGTACAAAGAGCATCCGGGTTAAGAGGGACATGCTAACCGCTAATATTTGGCACTTAATCATGTTGGTTCAGGACTGGAACCAGTTGATTTTGTAAGTGTTTTAATTGTGTTGGAATGACCATTGTAGGATTTGAACATTAAAAAAAATCATTGAACACATTTTACATTAATTGGAAAAGAAGAATAAATGTGTCCATGAAGATGGACCTCGTTAATGCTGTGAGTGATAACAGAGAAGTCAAGAAAAAGAAGCTGACAGCCGAAAGAGAAAGCATTAATATGCATGAGTTAATAAGCAAAAATCATGCATGCTTTGGCAGAAATTATTTTTGTGCTTTATTAATCCTTTGTATGTGCAGGGAAATGAGCATTGTGAAATGTCTGTGTGCTTTGCATCCAAATTGTGCCTTTTACTTTAAATTCTAGGATATTTAATTGCACATTTACGGTGTGCAACAATTGCCTGCTTAATATTCTAAAAACCGATCTGTAAGAGTTTTACATGTGCTTCTTATTTTCTTCAAGTTGTAAAGAACTGTGGTTCTCAATCTTATCTATCTTGTCTCTATTTGCAGTCACTGAAATTAGAAGAACATTTGATTTGTGTTTTGTTCTCTGCCTTTAATCTGCTGTGAAATAACACAAAACTATTAATAAAGTTCTGCAACTGTGTTATTGATCTGTGACAGTCAGTGGCCCTGATTTCTACATTTCATCTGATACAGAAGCATTTCATTTTCTCTGTTTCTCAAAAACCTCATTTCCTCATTTCAAGTCCCTCGCTCACTTCCCCCCCCCCAGTATTCGCACAGCCTCTCTCTCCCTCTCTCTCTCTCTTTCTCTCTGCGGCTCTCCTGTTCAAACAGTTACAAAACGGATGGTTCATCAAGTAGAACAGAGCAGGAGCAGGTTGGAAATGAGGTGTGTAGTCCAGCCAGTGTGATTTAGAACAGCCCTCTGATAACAAGGGAGGTTAATGTACCGGTCTCATGCCAGAGGACACGTGCTGAGTCCGCTCTATTAGAAACAACTTGTTCTGTACAGAAAATACACTGTTAACACATCCAAGAAGAAGACTTTCTCCCCTTATATTGAATAGTTTAAAAAAAGGTTTGTTTTGTCCAATCTTCTCACAATTTTCCACTGATATATGTTTTCAGTTCTGGCCCCATTATCCAGTAACCCATACTGTCTGTATGAAATAACAGCACTACCCTTCCTTTCTCAGTCTGTGCAGCCGTTGCAGTAAAACAGATGTAGATTGAGTAAACATGCGCTGTGTACCTTTGATCTCTTTCTCGTTCCTGAACCAGCGCAGGTCGGCAGCGGGCTTGCTGCCCTGAGTCATGCAGGTCAGAGTGATGTGGTCTCCCTCCATGGCGGGCTTCGTCAGGCCGTCGATCTCTGGCTTCTCTGGCACACCTGAAGGATGGAACGAAAAAGAAACCACAGGGATGGAATCAATTCACGCACAGCGGTATGACATTATGCAACAATAATATTATCATGCCTTATTGTAAATTCTCCTCCAGCTCGCCCTCCTGCAGGGAGATTAGAGCGAGAGAGAGAGAGAGAGAGAGAGAGAGAGAGAGAGAGAGAGAGAGAGAGAGAGAGAGAGAGAGAGAGAATACACAGCAGCAGCCCTGAGCAGTGTCCTTCTCTAGAACTCATCAGGGAGGATTCTTGCTGCCTCTCTAACCACTGGGCCATTCTTTCTTTAAGGTTCAGTTCAACAAAATTTCAAAGAAACATTTCTTCACAAGTTGATTTGCCTGAACTCTTTTAAACTGAACTGTTCCTTCTAGACATCAATCTGATACCTAGGCCTTATGATGGTCAATACCGAGCACCCCTCTGATATAAGTGCATTCTAATCTACATAATACTGGTAGAATACAATGATGGCTGACATTGTGCTAGCTCTGACCTACTTTACGCTCTCTCATTGCACCATGCTGTTGTTGTTGATAATTTACCACAAACCAGTTGATTTCTTTTGGGTTTATTGGTTATGGTATCTGAGGGGTACATTTACTGACATACTTGTCGATAACAAATACTGCATTTCACGCAGCACAAAATGCCGATAATGAAACAGCAATCGGTTTCTGCATTGGTACCTGTTTTGTTACCGGTATAGGTATTAGTATTGAACCTGTACTGATACAATACCTCTATTGGCATTTGTACCTGTTATGATATAGATACAGGTTTTGGTATCCACATTGGTACCAGTTACCGATACAGACAGGTATCTGTATTTGCATTGGTTCCTGTATTGCTATAACGAAAAAAACAGAATTGTTTTTTTTTTTAAGGTTTGCCATGGTGAGCAGCTTTCTGTGGGGGAAAAAAAAATCGTACAAATGTTTTTGATGTACGTTGCCTTGGACAAATGCATCTCTGCTAAATACATTGCAGAATTGTAGAAAAAATTGATAAGAATATAAAAAAAACACTTCTTGGCATCTGTAAACGCTACAAAGTATAAGTGGAAAACATGCAGAATGTTTTGTGTGTGTGTGTGTGTGTGTGTGTGTGTGTGTGTACATGTGGGTTAACAGACAAGGTCAAGAGGCTGTACTGAAAATGTTCATTACTGGCCTTTCCTGTAATCAGTGTGTTAAATGTGTGGAGTCTGGCCTTCTAATGTCGATGAGCAATAAGTCTACCTAAGGCTGAGTGACTGAAAGGTCTGTCAGTCAATGCCATTGACTGACTCTGGCCTTGTCCGTCTCACCATCTCCCGTAAGGTTTATTACAAGGCTTTAAGGTCTTTTCCTTTTCCTGTGTACCGTCCTTAAGAGGGAACTAACAGCAAACACAATCCGAAACAATAGATATCATAGCTTGATTTATTTTTTTTAACGTGCATTTTCTCCTGTTAAAGGTGTGGTTTTGAAGCTAGTAAAGAGCAAGTGTCACTATGTTGAAGTACTGTGCATGTGTTGCTGTGTGAATGACTAAGTGTGGCTTGACTCAGAGAAGTGTTAGATGATTTTTCTTCCAGACTGAACGAGAGCAGATCAAATACAATGTTCATCTTATTCAGTCACGTTCCGTTTGGGTGGCTGGAGGCTGCAGAGCTTTAATCTTTCTCTGCGTTTGTGTGTGTGTGTGTGTGTGTGTGTGTGTGTGCACGTGGACCAGAGCAGAGGATTGTGTGTGGTGTGTGTGTGTTTCACTGCTCAGCTGTGCGTCATGGATTTGTCTGCGCTGTGGTGTGTTGATGTGTGTATGCACGACTGGCGTAACCAAAAAACGTTTTCAAGACATGAAAAAGAAATGAGAGCTCGATTTTTCTGATGCATGGTGGAAAAAGAAGAATAATGGATTTCACAGATAATTCCTTTTGTCAGTGTGATCAAACCCCTTTCTGCTAATGTACACATTTATTCAATATGAATTTGATTATGAAGTTATTTTGAACAAAAATCAAAGTCAGTCATTCTCTGGAACCTTTATGTTTATTTGCCATTTAACTCACTTAACTGAATGCTTACCATCTCACAGCTGAAGACCCCAAACTGTGGTCCACACTACAGTATGTATTTGAAGGATTAACTTGTGGTTTTAACAGGTATTCCTGATCCCTATTGGACAAAAAAATCCCCTGACATTTTGTGTGTCACCATTTGTGGTTTTAAGAAAAATATCTCAGCAACTTATATTGTGTGTCATATCATAATCCACACATTCATACATCAGATTCAAGTGCATTAACTGAAGTATTGAAAAAAATATTTGTCCACTTCTTTGTGAAAAAAAAATAAAAATACACTACTGCCATACGAAGGCAAAAGACCTTTACTCACCAGAGTGAAGAACTGAGAACAATGACTTTAAAGTAGTTTTGTTGTCCAGCCAAATGAGTTGCAATTCTTGGTCTCTTTAATGAGGTTATTCATCTACATAAAAATCTTGAGCTCAAACTTGACCTTTGACCCTTATTTGGAAGCTAAGGTACTCTGCCTTTGCATTGCCTGTACAATAATAAGAGGTCATTCCAAGGCAAAAGGCATTAACTTCCATTTGATAGAGCACTTGGTTGCTGATCACTATATAACATCAGTATAAGATAATAATGATAACAGATACATGAAATCTAGTGATCATGGCACAATTACGCTTAACAAAATTACAAAAATGACAATAACTCATTTTCAAAAAGAATGAAGTTAACACCTTTTGGGTTTGTAGGGCAGACTACACAAACTAAATTAAAGAAAGAGATTCTTAAAAAGGTACACTTAGTGTTCCTTAAAGTCGGATTTTGTAGAGGTGTTTCCTGAATGGATTGCCATTGCTTGATGTCTCCTGTCTTAGATCGATGAAAATCAAGGAGACACTACTATTTTAGTTAGTAAAATGATTCAAATAAACATTTGTTGTCGTATGTAACTAGAATAGAGTAGAGCAGTGAACTTAGAAAACAAACCTTGTTTTTATACGGCGCCAATTGGCAAACATTAGTGGCTATTATTAATAAAATGGTAAACCTAGCTTACATTAAACCTTCTAAAAACACCATGTCATCCTCAGCAAGTGAGCATACTGTCATTAGCTCTTACTTTAAACCAACACTGTGTCCACATATATCCTAATGAAGTAGCCCAGAATGTTACCCTAATAGTTAGACAAGAACATTTACCGAAACCACATTTGTAAATTCCTAAAAATAGACTGTCTTAATAAGCAAGCTTGTGTTTGTATTTATTCACATGAATATTTGGAGATGTGTTGACTGTGTGGCTCATTTATTTAACAGTTGACTATTTTGTCTGACCATTTGTCATCCTTGTTCTCATTCCCAGCACACATTGTTCTGGATCTGTGGCAGATAAACAGGCCATTCCCAGGCCACGCTGCATGTTGATTAAATCTCCCTCTCTCTTTCCTGGCAAGCTCCATTAACTATTGTTCAATATTGCAAAATAATTTTCTACATATCCTTATTGAGCAATAGCTTTTAATGTCTCTAATTCACTGAATGCTTGTTAACGCAGAAAGCTAGTTAATGGTCCTGGAGTGCACTAGCACATCCATTAACATTAGTAAAAGGTAATTGGCGGGATAATAAGCCTAGTGGCAGGAAATGAGACAATGTTTGTGTGTAGTGGGGGGGGGGGGGGGGGGTGATCATAACACACATATTACCAGAAGGCACAACAGGATGTTTTTATTCTATACTGATATAGAAACACAGGCAATTTGTTTATTCATATTTGTCTTATAAGAAAAAACTCCAATAACCTATCATTTGAACACACGTAGTTATAGAATAAACACACTTATCTCACAATGTTAAATGATTGTTTTCTGAACCTTCGAACAAAGATGGACACAGATATTTGCTCGCTTTACAACATGTTCTCCCTAACTTAAAGCAAAAAAGACTTACAAAACCTTTATGGACACAATTGCAAGTCTGATAGGACATTTAGTGTGTTTAATCTTTGATACGATATAACACAACAGGACAGGATTGGATGGGATGGGAAATGTACGATAAGATACCATACAATAGGATAGGATCGAAAGGATAGGATGGGATAGGATAAGATAGATAGGATATATAGTAATCCTGCTTAAGGAAAGACAAAATATTCCTTTCAATTGACATTACGTTTATTCTCAGAGCCTGTACTTACCCAGAACTGTCAGGTAGGCTTTGGCTGTTCTCACTGGCATGGTGAAGAGGGAACACGTGTACATGCCTTCATCAGACAGCATGACATCACTGATACTGATGGTCAGCTCCGACGACGACGCACGCACCAGCTCGATCCTGTTGTCTCTTAAAGCTGCACAAAGAGACAGAGAGAAAGATAAACAGAGAGTTAGAGCGTCAACACACGCCATGACATCATGCATACAGTCATTTGATTTGATACAGTTTATTATTTAGAAATAAATCACTTGGGTTGCCAGTGGCCTAGTGGCTAGTTTGAATGCCCCATGTGCTATACTGTAGTGACTCAAGCGGACGTCCCAGGTTCAAATCCGGCCTGTGGTTCCTGCAGGTCATTCCCCACTCTCTCTCTCAGGTGAACAATGTATGTACTAATAGATTTAAATAAAAAAACTACATTGATCAAGAGTTGTCCCAAAGTTTGGCTGTAAAACAGAACTTTCTGAATGAATCCATCAGTTCACCTCTTCAGTAACCGCACTCATGCAGACTCCTCTGGTGAAAACCTTGCAGACATTTAACTTATATGAAAATGTAATCTTCCAAAAGACATAACGGGGATGGAAATCAATACAGCAATAAGAGGATTTGAGTGAGATGCCTAATGAGAATTTGGCAAGATGTGAGGTTTTGAAATAGATCTGCTGAAAATGCAAGGCTTGTTGAAAGATACTTCATTGTCTTTAAAGTGGACTATACTTCATATCTGTGATACAGTGCAGACAGGCAATCACATCTCAGATTGGGACCTTGGGATTGGCTGGATTCTAAGGGGTTATTTTTGTAAATTTCAAGAAGACGATGCAGATTGTTGATGTGCAAATATATTTCTGTCAGTTTGGGTGGCCTTTGCTGCTCAATAATTTCATACAGCCTTTCCTTTAGTAAAAACAACTGCTTTCTACAAACCTTATCAAATAAGAACAGTCAAGGAAACTTTGCTTTCACTCTCCATCAAAATGACTCAGAGCACACCTTGTTCAAAGTGCAGTGCCCGCTCGTGTGTGTGTGTGTGTGTGTGTGTGTGTGTGTGTGTGTGTGTGTGTGTGTGTCTTTGTGTATGGAGTGGAAAAAAAGCATCATTATAGGTGTGCAGGTGTTTATATTTTCTTTCATGTAAGGCCACATGAAAGAATACTCCAACCTTATCAGTAAGAAATCATATATATAAAGAAGAGCAGCCTGCTTTTGTAACCTCTCTGCAGAGATCTGACGAGTGAAGGCCATTAGACAGTCTGTTTGTAGAGCACTTTAAAGAGTGACCGGCTGAACACTGAGAAACTCTACCTGAGGTATGCTTCATACTGAAACTGTGTTTTAACATCCTAAAGTCTTTTCCCTTTTTTTAATGATTCATCTTCCCCACCCAAGAATTCATCTAGTTCTTCTGAAACTTTAAGAAAAGATATTCTTACTCTAAATAAAAAAAAATAATCAAAAGTTAAGTATGACAAATCTTAAATCTGCTTCTTTAACATGGACATAAATTATGGAAACAGACAATTAGCCTATTGAAAGATTTTTTTTGTGTACATGTTCGGAGAAAATACCCTTTATAGGGCGAGGAACTATATTTGGTAACTTCAAAACACCAACAACTCCCGCTTCCCTGTGCCTCTCAGTGAGGTCTAAAAGCCTGGTTTTACCCAGCCAATCAGCGAAGATCCCTCTACGTCACTGTACGTGCCATCATTGCATTTGACCGCATTTGATTGCATTGATTTCCAATTTCCTATTTCTCCAACATCGGAAAAAGATGCTCTTGCGGCTCGGCCCATAATTATGGTGGTAACATCAAAACTAACCATGATAAGTTGACGAAACACACACATTTTATGGTTGAATAGTCGTGAAAAGTGATGAAATATGTGTTATTTGGGGAGGACTTTGTGAAATGAGTGAAATTACGGCATGAAAAATTAAGGCACCATATTTGATCATACCCCTGTTCACTAGAATTATATGGTATGTCTATTTTTAGACATCTGCCCAATGCGTCTAGTAAGCCATACTTAGCGCACAATCTTTACAAATAAGACAACAATTGAATAACATTTGCAGTCTCAAAAGCTTCATTTTCTCTAATGATGTTAATATGTGATGAAATGAAAAGAATCATTAATTCAAGTTTTCAAGTATTAAAACTTTTGAAACTTTTAAAGAGTTGAAATCTGTTACCTGTTTTAACATTTTATAGATGATAGAAAGGCGTTTATTTTATTTTAATTTATTTTATTCATGTCTAATTGTTTTGTAAAAAACAATCGAGATGATCTTAATCAGTCATCTGAGATCAATTGCTCATGTCTTTACCCACATACAGCTCCTGAAAAAAATCAAGAGATCACTGAAACCTTCTCAAATAAAGTTTCTCATTTAGGTCTTTTATTTTCAGAAAATGTCGTCTGGTGAAGAAATAAAAAAGATGCAGTAATTTTCATAAGTTGGATGCTAAAAAAATCACTTCTACGTTAACTTAGGAAGAGTTCAGAAACCAGTGTGGGAATCATTTTGAAGCGGTCTCTTAAGAAATTAGGAGCCCACTCCAAATTGTCCTTAAATCAGCATCTCTACATACACAGAAGGCATTCTTTTCTAATTCATAAATTCTTTTCAATTTCATCGAAGGTACAACTCCCTCTACTGGATGAGGAACGGATTTCATTTGATCTCCTGACAAGCCATCGAACAAAGCCGAGCTGCTGGATGTTTTTTCATCAAGAGCGGCACAATGCCACCCATCAGAAGTGGCGGTGGAGGGCATGCCAAGACACAGGAAGGCTGTAGTTTAGCCTCACAGTTTTTGCTACGTCCGTGTTCGGACACAGCCCCAAGGTGCCCTGTAAAGCCCACCCAGGGGTGCTTGAGTGGTGAAATCCAACCACAGTCATTACAGTTCAATTTTAGAGTAATTTGATAAGATAAGTTAAGAATTAAGTCTGAGAGAGATTCAATGAATATTGTTGTAGCTGGAAAAAGGGTGTGTCACGTCTGCTCTCAGATTTCATGTCTGAGTGTTTATGTTTAAATTGTTAAATATATATTTAAAAAAACACACATAATCTCATTTTCCTTTTTTCCAAACTCGTATATGATGAATTCACTTCTGCATTATCCGCTGTGTTTTACCCGCTTTCTGCTTTAATGTGTCAGTGACTGGTAAATGTCTAGCCCTTTAGGTTTCGGTGAAAAGAGGTGTTAGGCACATGAGCTGCATTATGTTCACACCTTCTGTTCATGCATTGCTGTAATGATATCACATAGCTGACAAACGTATAGAAATATCAGCAAGTGCTCCCACTATCTCATGTCACCGCATGTGCCAGAAGAAGGATAGCTTTGCTTTGCAGCTTTTCAGCCTCAACACCTACAGTCATGTGTAGCACGGTTGTAATCAGTATTGGCTAAACGACAGCCGCTCTCTCTCTCTCTCTCTTTCTATCTCTCTCTCTCTCTCATACGTATTATTGCATTTGTTCTGTGCCTTCCCCATCCCTAGGAACACTGGTTATCTCCACATGCTGTGTACGGCGCGTGAGCAGGCGTGACACGTTGATATGCGCACATGACATATCTTTAGACTGAGCTCCAGTGACAGAACATTCCTGTTCCTGGGTGAAAAGCAAGACCACCGAATTAGATTCACGCACTGCCAGTTCAGTTGATGGTTGGACCTGTCCTGCAGAGATAGTTCTTGCAGTGCGTGTACACAAAAAATCTGTACACATTGTCTCATCAAAGAATGAAGCGAGACAAAGAATAGATTTATTTGCTTTGATTGGAGGCAAAGAATCGGTTCTATTTGCCTCTGCATATCGTCCTGTCTTTCTTCCTGTCAGTCTCTCAGTTTTTCACCGTCCTCCTACCTCCACAGACCTCAATCTGTCGACTCAGGCAGCTCCAATAACCAGCACATGTGCACAAGTTTAAAACATCTCTCTTTTCTACTGGTGACTTATTTGCTTTGGGCAGGGGAGTAGGAGAAGACAAATGTCAGAAAATAAATGTAGTGTTGCAGGTTCTCTTGCAGTGGAAATGAAAGTTCTTTAAAAGGTAAATCATATATTCAGAATTTTTGGACAACTAAAGCGAGGTAAAGAATAAAAGAAACTTAAAATGCTGTGATATTTTTGCATTTATAATGAGTGTCTCATGACTGGGCTGAAATAATTTGCATAAATAACTGGTGATATGAAAACATCCTGTCAATAAATCACCTGCATGACACAGCAGACTTGCAGGACTTCAATGGATTTAGATTATTTTTGTCTGTGAAGATCTTTTCGATTATAATCTAGTAATCCAATCATGCTTAAAGTGTTATTCTGCATTCTTTCGGTGGTTACAGGCGGGGATCAAGAGAGTTTAGGTCTAGATGCCAGAAAGCAGGATCATCCTGATCCCCCTGGAGGGCTGGATTTAAAAACATGAAAGGTGTCGTATAAAAACCATGAAATCATGATATAACTGGTCGGGATACTTTATTTTTTATAGCTAATTTGTCTCACTTTGTTTAAGTTGGACATGTGAATTTCAATAAACATGAATTTATTTATAACAAAAAAAAAAGAGATCTTTTTCAATTAACACATTTGAGACATTTAGCAAGTATGGAAGTTTAAGCTGCGTGATGTTGGAGAGCCTTAAGACCCTCAGTGCTCAATAATAAAGGTGTGAACACGAGCACATCATAGCCTGTAAGGAGCCCATCTGGCACATTTTTCAAGCATTAAGTACCAAATCTTTCATCTTTTTTCTAAGCTTTTTCATCTTTTAACTTGTGTGTCTCATTCTCGGCTCAGTGAAAAAGGTTGGACGTCCACAGAGGTAACAGAGAAGAGGAATGTAACCTTTGCTGCAGCTGCTATCATCCATTAGAGACCATTAGTGCCAACAGTCCTGAATCAAGTCCTGCAGGACGGCGTTGTTGACAACATCAAAGAGAGGTACATTTTCATGCCACAATAAATGTACAACCTTCATTTTTTCACATTTAGCCTAATTCTGCATCTCCTCAGACGTGTAGAAAGAGAGACAGAAATCAAAGCTGCCCTCAGCGTTATGCTCTTTTATTTATTCAAAAAATCACCTCTTTATACAAATGTTTATGTC